GATATCTTGCAGTAATAGTTGATGTTGGTGTCATTTTTTCTCCCCTATTTACTTGTGTTGATGTATGATTCACTGTGGTCCTTCTGGAACGCAGGATACCACTCGTCTCGAGGAGGCTTTATTGAACTTACGGAGTAGTGATAGCCCACTCAGTCCTGATGTGGTGTTGATCCAGTCCCCCCCCCCCCCGCAGGTGACGTGGGCGTTGCAGGTGGCAACCTTCTTTTAGGGGCACCGAGCGTCAGAGAGAGTTTCGGTGCCGTGACTGCCCTAGGGGATGGGATGGTGACCGTGGAGATTCTGGATCCCGGCCTTGAGTCCGAAAGCTCCGTGTTTTACCATCAGATCATGTCAGGGCTTTTAAATCCGCCATGCAGCGGGAACCAGGATCGAGAAGGTACGGAGAAACAGCTGCAGGAAATAGTACGGTCCATGTACACAGTGGAATTCTAGGCTTCGTGTTTTGTGTTGAAGCGCTGCCGATCCGATTATTGGAGGAACGAGCACTTGTGGGAAAAGCATATGCGCGACTTCATTCAGATATGGGATCAACCGGATGGGCGCATTGAAGAACTAGAAGAGACTGTTCGTGAACTCAAAAAATTGGTTCCTCGCGCTAGACGTCAGTATATCCCTACCGGTGCAGAGGCACACTGTCGCGATCCTATCTGGAGGTCGTGTTGGAGGGGTTGAAGAGGGTGTATGCCGCTATTGTCGTGCTTTGGTAGAGGGATTCACAGATTCTGGGTCACTACAGAATGTTTGATCAGCCCTTGCATGCGATGGTGCGAGCCCTGTCCGACCGCGTGGTGGAAGCAGGGGATGTTGTCGATCCCGACATGCTTTAGTTTCCCAAATTTGAGAATATTGACCATCCTCTGCCGTTCTCTGGTCCCTTGGAGGATGCGATCATCCAGGGACAGGTTCCAGAGGTGCCCCCACGCGACGTTTGAACGACGTTTGCAAGTGGCGGTTGGTCTCCCTTTTGTTGTAGACTTAGGTTTTCCCTTTTCTTGTTGTTGACGGATTGCACTCGCCATTTCTGGTGCGCACTTGGTTTTTTTTTTTTTTCTCTTTGTTAAGATTACTCGTTCTTGCTATTTTGCATGAGTCTGTAGGGAGCAATCACGGTAGGTGCCATGGTCGCGGTTGTTAAACCGGATATTGATTGCACCTACGATAGGTAGCCGCGTCGCCCGTATCTTGACTACAGGACGCAGTGTTATGCTATCATTTATATTGTCCAGCTGCCCATTTCTGGGTTGGGCCCGTCGTACTTGCTTCGCCTGCATCCGGACGACGGGACGAGACGTCGTGTCGCGGTTTGTTTTGACCGGCCGCCCATGTCTGGGTTGGGTCAGACAAGACACCGCGTGGGATAGATCCCGAGTTTTGTTACCGAGTCACCAGCATCCGGGTGACAGGACGCGATGTCGAGTCGCGGTTTGCGCTAACCAACCACCCATGTCTGGGTTAGGTCAGACGAGACGCCGCGTGGGACAGATCCCGGGTTTTGTCACCGCGCCACCCGCATCCGGGTGACTGGACGCGACATTGAGCCGTGGTTTGTGGGCGAACTGTTGGTGTTGAGTTTGGCCGGGCGAGGTACCCAATAGGGTCGTATCGCGCTTCCATGCGTTGCCCCTGATTGGGCATCAAGGTGCGACCTATGGTCGCTACATGTAAACTGAGAGTTTGGCACAATGATTTAAAGCAGCATCATACTTAATTTAGCGGATTTATCTTATAGATTGTTTGAGATAAATATAAAAGAGAAAAAAAATAAGTTAACTTTGACACAATGCTACATAGGAAGAATTGGACCAAGGGTGCCGGCGTAAGCTAGTAGTGGTACTTCCTAAGGTGCTTGACATTCCACCATCGGGGTATGGTGCGGGGGGTCTCTTTCGTGGTCTGCAACTTGTACCCTCCGGAAGGGGAGGTCGCAATCACGCGGTAAGGCTCCTCCCAGGTAGGTGCCAACTTTCCTTTAGGCTCCGCGTGGTTGGCGTCGTTTCTCCTGAGGACTAGGTCGCCCACCATGAATTCTCTTGCGTGGACCTTGCGGTTGTAGTGGGAGGCGACCTGTTGCTTGTACCGCGCATCCTCGATGCATGCTGCCTCATGTACTTGTTCCACCAAATCTAGGGCGCCACGGAGTTCATCCTCGTTCTCCTCCTCTAGGTAGTGAAGAGCACGGTAGGATGGTACCTCTATCTCTGCCGAGATCACTGCTTCCAATCCGTAGACCAAAGAAAACGGCGTCAGACCTGTCATCTTTTGAGGGGTTGTACGTTGTGCCCACAGGACGTGAGGTATGACCTCCACCCAACTTGCGTCCTACGCCTTTAGCCTTTTCTTGATGCCTTGCATTATTGTACGATTAGCGTTTTCTGTGTGACCGTTCGCTTGTGGGTGGGCAAACGATGCAAACTTCCTTTCTATCCCAAACTCCTCGCACCATCTTTTAGAAACCCCGGACTCGAATTGGGTGCCATTATCAGAAACAATCGTGTGTGAGATGCCAAATCTGCAAAGTATGTTTTTTCATAAGAACTTTGCGACCACTGTTCCAGTCTATGACGTGATTGGCTCAGCTTCCACCCATTTTGTGAAATAATCGACAGTGACTAACAACCAGCGTGCTTCTCCTATCCCCTTGTCAAACGGGCCAACAATGTCTGTGCCCACTTGTAAAAAGGCCATGGGCTAAAGATCAAAACCAAGTTGTGCTGTAGTACTCGAATGATGGGAGCAAAGTGTTGGCATTGTGGGCATTTGAGCACGTAGTTGTAACAATCTTGGGCTAGAGTCGGCCAGAAGTAACGTGTGCGTAGGATTTTCTTGGCCACATTGCGCGACCCAATGTGCGCACCGTAGGCCCCTTCATGTACACTTGGCATCAAAAGCTGGAATTCTTCTGGATCGACACATCGCAGCCACGGTTGCAGGATACCATCTTTTAATAGGAATTTTGGGGCCTGCTGTCGTAGTTTCCTGGCATGAATTTTATCAGCTGGTAGGGTGCCGTCAGTCAAGTACTGTACTATGAGCGTCATCCAAGACTCGGCCGCCGTGTCGACCTGGTTCACCATTTCTACATCGATGCTTGGTCGCGGGAGCACTTCCACTAAAACTCGTTGGGTCAGGTATGCGAATGCCGAGGATGCCAGCTTGCTGAGTGCATCCGCCCTCTTGTTAAGGGCTCGTCATATGTACGAGACAGTACATTCTTCAAACGCGTCCCGGAGCCGTCGCACCAGGTGCAGATACTTAGCCGGTCGCTCACCTTTGATCGCATATCCTCCACGAATCTGGCTGACTACTACACTGGAGTCACTGAAAGCGGTCTCACGATTGCGAGGGGTTCCCCATTTTTAGGAGTGGCTAGGGTGGGTAGTTTCAACATATGTTCCTTCAAGTCAGCAAACGCCTTGAGACAGTCATCTTCCAACGCGAATTTTTCTGCTTTCCACAACGCATTGAAGAAAGGCAAACAACGTTCCGCCGCCCGCGATAGGAAGTGATTTAATGCGACCAATAGCCCAGTCAGCTTTGGTACCTCTTTGACAGTGTTGGGTTCCTTGAGCTCCACGATTGCCGTTACTTTGGACGGATCTATGCGATCTCGCTGTGGGACACTCGGAACCCCAAGAACTTCCCAGAAGCGACACCAAATGCACACTTTTTTGGATTGAGTTTCATGTTGACTCGTCGTAGTGTGTCGTATGTTTCTTCGAGGTCGCTAAGCATGGATTCGTACCCGCGGCTTTTTATCACCATGTCATCGATGTATACTTTCATATTTCGGGCAATCTGATTGTCAAAGATCTGATTGGCCACACGCTGGTATGTTGCCCCTCCGTTTTTCAGGCCGAAAGGCATCTTGACGTAACAAAACGTCCCCATATCTGTGATGAAGGCTGTCTTCTCTGCATCGCCTTCATCCATTAGAATCTGGTGGTACCCCTTGTATGCATCCAAGAAACATAGGATCTTGAACCCGGAAATGGTGTCGACCACGATCCTTGAGACAATGTTTGTTCAGGTCCTTATAATCTATGCACACGAACCATGTCCAATCAATCTTCCTGACCATTACTGGGGGAAGAGGACTTCTCGTATGATTTGTGCAGCCAGCAACTTGGCGACCTCCGCTTTAATCGCTGCGCTACGCTCCTATGACTGGCGTCGCTGGCGCTGCTTAATGGGGGATGCATCTGGGAACACATTAAGCTTGTGGGTGCCATATTCCGGCGGGATACCTTCCGTGTCTGTGGCTGCCCATGCGAAGACATCCTGGAATCCTTTTAGCAAAGTGACAACTGCGTCCCTAATATCCGGCGGGAGGGCCGCCCCGACCAAAACAACCTTGTCTGTCATAAAGGGATTGAGAGGGACCGCCACCGTGTCCCCATTAGACAAGTCGTCTTGTTCTTCGTCCTCTGGTGGGTCGAGCGTCGCAACATCAACATCTGTGGCGGTGACTCCAAAACAATGATTAGGGGTCGCTGTCACATTGCCGGAATTCGGTAAAATTACTTGGTTCACATTGGCACTAGTCAACGCCTGCTTTCCCTATCTTACTGCAATGGACATGGATTGGCGTGCCAACTGCAGGTCTCCTCGTACTTCCGTGATGCTCTGGTCAGTTGGGAACTTCATGATGAGATGAAATGACGAGAAAATAGCCTCGGCCTGATTCATCCAGAGCCTTCCCAACAGAATGTTGAATGGTACGACCACATCCACCACCGCGAAGTCGCAGAGCTCTGTCTTGTAAAAGGGATAGTCACCCACGGTGACACTAAGAGTGATCATACCCATGGGGATGATTACATGGTTGGAGAAACCCATTAACGGCATAGCACACGGATGCAGTTGGGACTTGTTTATCCCCAGTTTTTCGAAACAGTCCTGGTACGTTACATTGATGCCACTCCCTGGTTCGACATAAACGCCGCGGACCTCCCTATTGTGGATATTGCACTGATGACTAGGGCGTCCACGTTGGATGGCTGTCCTGCGACTACGTCGTCTTGGGAGAAGGTGATGGTCTTCGAAGGTTTGAGGTGCTTGTGGTCAGACTCTCCCGGCAGGCGGGATCTTGACGCGGCCTTTGCTGAGGAGATGCTCTGGATTTCAAGTGGCATGCAAAAAGACAACGTTAACGGAATGCCATGGATGATGGGTTTCACTGGGGTGGGTACTTCTCTTGGGGGGACTCTTCTTTGCTTCCTTTTCCTCTGCACAGTTATCTCCGTCGCCTTTTCCCATTCCGCGACCATTCTATCGCCGTCCCCGAGCAGCACGGTCGCCTTGCGTGAACTGGCATGGCTTGCTTTCTTTCTGCTTCTTGCCTAACTCCCTTTTCAGCTCGCGAAAATCCTTCGTAGAATGTCCGTTTCGCTGCTGGTAGGCGCACCAATTTTCTTTGGACCCTGACCCCGGGAGGGGGTTGCGAGGTTGGCCTGCGTCATTCTTCTGAACTTGAAGCACATCGCGAGCTGATTTTACGAGGGAGAGGTAGCGGGGTAGGCGGGAAGTGCGATCGCGATCGTGCTGTCGTCCCGAGTCCCGCCCCCTTGAGGGTAGCGACGCGTCCTTTCCCCCAAACAACTCCTCGGCCCGGTGTGTTTACTCGTAGTGGGGAAATCCTTGCCCAAGTCGCGCTTGAATTGTGCAGACAGACCGAAAGGATTCAAGCCATTGATGAAAGTTTGGCGCAGTACTAGGTCATCAACTTGATCATTAAGCAGGACCTCCTTGGTGTAACGGGCATAATAATCCGTCAAGGATTCCTGGCGCCCCTGTCGCATTACGCCCAATCATTCATGGTTTTCACCAACGTTTTGAGTTGAAAAAAACGGGTGTGTAACTTCTCACTGAAATCGGTGTATGATGGGATGTTGTCCGATGGTAGTAAGTGAAACCAGGACTTGGCGGTGCCGGTGAGAACAGTCGGCAGGGCCTTAGCCATGTAGTCATGATTTGCATTACGCAACCGCATCGCGCTGGTATAATCGGCAAGAAATGACATGGGACATGAGTCACCCGCATGTTTCCTTATATCAGTCGGCATCTTGAAACCTTCGGGCTTCTCAGCCGCTATGATATGCAAACAAAGGGGGCCTGCGTTTAAGGAATCGAACAAGATTACAGCTAGACGTGATCAGAAGGGATCAGGCTAGGGGCCTCGGGGACGCAAGCGCCAAGGCTATCGCTAATTGTGACACGCGGTCCCAGCCTGTCAACAACTGTGTGGCGAGGACCGAGGCGGTCGCGTACAGGGGCTTTGGTCGCATCGTGGCGCCCAAGGTCCGTCGCGGCTCGATCAGTGTGCAAGTATTGAAGGCTACGCTCAGAGCCACCCTCTTCGCGATTCCGTTGCTCGTCACGCTGCGCCTCTTGGAACGCGCGAAACTGTTCTAAGACTACAGGATGTGACCTAGCGAACTCCAGCCACTGGTAGTCGACGGGCTTGTCATTCCGCTGGTCGCCATGACCCGTGGACTGATGGGAACTCTCTTCCAACGTTTCTAGTTCTTTTTGCAAATTCGATCCTTTGTATGCATCGATTATCTGCTTCCCGGTGTGGCCGCGTCTAGAATCTGGCTTGGTCGCAACCGTCTTCTTCGTCGCCCCAGGATCCTGGGGGCGACTGCCCCCTGGTTCATCACGTCTTTGTCTCGTGAACACCATTAACGTATCACTCCACCGTAAAAAAAAAAGTTCAGGAAATGGGAACGCGTTTCTGTCTTCGCGCGATCCCCACAGTCGGCGCCAATTGATGGAGCGACCCAGAGCCGGTCCACGAGTGAGTGCTAATAATTCTCAAAATGCCCTGCAAAATAGGGTTAGCACTCCAATGCTTAAGTTAGAAGTCTTAGAAAGAGAAAGAGAAACTACTAAATGCTATGTAGAGAGAGAATCACATGAGAAATAAATGCCTTGGGGTGCTCCTTTTATAGACCCAAAAAGGATATAAAGAAATATTCCCTTACACATGGGTGTATATGGATCTTAGTGGATATTATTAGGTGCCTGGGCCAACTTAAATAAGACCCAATGAGGCAATGGCCTAATTGCCCCATCAAGCACCCACCGTAGAGGGAAGATGAGAGAAAACTTAAAATGCTAACTGACTTAGAGACAAGCCGGTGAAGGACACTTCCGATCAGAATAGAAACAACAATTGTGGTGGTTGTGATACCAAATTACAATTGGTGCATAATATATCTAATTCATTGTTATTTCATAATATTTGTCACATAACTACCGCAACACCATCTGTTATTTTTTTTTTCCAATTTATTTCAAAGTTTGATTATTACCATATTGGATGTAGTAGGACTATTGTGGGAAAGGAAAAAAGATTTTTTTTTTTATGAGAAAGCACATATTATCTCTCTGCTGCTCCTAATAAGTCAAAATTGATTGCTGATGGGCAGTGGCGGAGCCAAAATTTATGAAAAGGAGGGACAAAAATGTATAAAATACTTTTAGTAGGGACGAAAATATAAAAATCTAAAAAGTTATACTAAATTTTAAAAGGAGTCTCTGAAAAAAATTAGTGCTAGTGGGGCGATTGCCCCTGCTAGCCCCCTAGCTCCGCCACTGTTGATGGGTATGTGGTAAAAAGTGAGAGATGCCTTAATGTGTTCTATTAAGTTCAAGTTAGAGGAATTGAGCAAATTGGTTCCTATTGTTCTCTTGATATTAATTCAAAGAAGTAGCAAGCTTTCCTTTTATATTGCCATTTTACCATTTGTCCATTTAGATATAACATTAGTTTATCAGAGCAAAAGCAAATCTAATTATGTGAGGTTCCAGTGATATTCTTAAGTTATTATATTGGAATTTGATTTGTTTTTTTTTTTTTTGGTTCTTTCAGGTTTTATGGATGAAAAAAATATTCCGTAAATATTCAAGAGAAGGAAAAAATTTGGATGAAAGTTTGTTTGTGACATTGGGGTTCCAGTAAATCATGTTTCAATCCATGCTCTCGGATTTATGTACATTTAGGGAAAAACAAAAAAAAACCATAACATTATTTTAATGATCATTGGCAATTTTGTTTTGTTTTTAAGTATCTTAGTATCGACCGAAGGTGGACAGGTGTAGTGATGGCTGAAATGTCCAAACCTTAAAATTTAAGTGAGAAGTGCAGAGGAAAACTTTTACATTTGTAAATCATAATTGCGAATTGATGTTTTTCTTCTTTTTTTTTCTTTTTTTGGTTGTAGTAGAACCCTGGGCAACTAAAACAATAAACATAAAATACAATCCGGCCCTAATTTCCGGTCATTGCATAATGCAACTTTTATGTGTGTTGTGAATGATCATAAATGCCTAGGGTTAGATTATACTCTGCCCTTGGACCTTTTTTTTTAATGGAATAAAATCTGGGGAGGAGTGACTCTAAAGAATTAGGTGGTATAAGTGTCCATCCATTGAGTATACCCCTTGGGTGCATTTATATCATTTAGCACTGACTGGTGGAAAAAATATCTTTGGGGTAGACCCTTGAGTATTTTCTGTGTTAGTTGGAACTTGAATATAGCTCCATCTTCTTTTAATTAAAAAAAAAAAAGAATCATCATAAATGGTTAACAACGTAACATTAAGGCAAGAGTTGAATAACAATATTATTAAGAAGGAGAAAAAGAAAGATATGTTCCCCATTGCGTTTCTGAAAATAGGTATAACTTAGGCAAAACAATGTGTTACATGAGTGCAAAATATTTAAAATCAATGAATAAAAACGGATAAAACAATTAAAATATATTTCCTATATCCTGAAATTATTGTCCAATTTGAATTTTCATTTCCAGTTTGGATTTTCATTTTTAATTGAAATTGTATTAAAAGTGCTATGATCTCAAACTGGACAATAATGTTTGGACAAATGGAATAATAGATTGAGAGAACATTAACATAATTTAGTAATGTATAAATCTGCTATTTTTATGTATTGTATTTTTGATGAAAAATCATAAAATAAGTTTATTTTAAATTATACAGAATACTACTTGGTAAAAGGAATTCTAGCCCGTGCATTGCACGGGTGTAACATCTAGTTATTTATAATCTAGCACCTGGTTGTAGAAGTTATGACTATGTTATTTTACCTAGTTGTTTTAAAAAAAACGTTATGACTATGTTGATCCGTGTCAAAACATGTTTTCACTTATTAGTACTTTAGACAAACATTTGAACTAATTCTAACAATATATTTGATGCACTATATTAGTTTGTTAAAGACCTCTTTATAGTTTGAATAGAATACAGTACTATAGAGCATTTTAATTCTTCTCGTCAATTGAGAGTACTTTTAGTGTTCAAAATCCTTAAAATCATTTTTTTGGGCGTAAATGGTGCTCATATATGTTAAAAACGAGACTGTTTTTTCTTAAAATTCAATAGATTTATTTCTTTCCCCTTTTTTTAGACGCTCGTTGATTATTTATAATAGTTATGGCTGACTTGTCCATAATTTGGACTACCGGATTCAATTGAACTTTTCAATAGTACTAAAAATACCAATAACAGTATGCTCATTCACAGAAATTGAAAAACGATATCGATACGGTGTAAATACGATTGATGGTTACCAACACGATTTGCATATGAAAATACTTACTTGCCTTTGTTGTTAGATTAAAATAATTGAACAAAAAAAAGAAATATTTTCATTGACACAACAAAGATACAGTGACAATGACAAAAAACTAAAACATTAAAAGTGCCTTTAACTTGCAGCAATAGAATATGTTCATAAATTGAAAGAATCAAAATTTCCAATACTTAAAAAAGGGAAGAAACACTAAAAGAAAATTATAATGTTCTTAATGCGTAAATAAATTTCTAGCCATTCATGACATCATAAGGACAAAAAGAACACCAAATACTCAAAAACCAACATAAACCTAAGTAAACTTAGATTTCAAAGCTATTCATCGTTGTTGAAGAATTTATCAGATTGCAAACCATTAGCTCTACCAAATCCAGATGCATTTTGATTATCAAAAGAAATCGAATCTGTAAAAAGTCCAGCAACTATTGCCCGAAGTTGAACTTTCTTGTCTAACTCGTCATAGGCGAATTTCAAGCACTCCAGTTGTTCTATATTAAGCTCATTAATAGGGACTTGCCACCAATAACGCTTTGAAGTGGCTTCTACAATTTCTGCAAGTTTGTCGCTCCTTTTCTTAGCATCGTCTAACTGAGCTTGTAGTGCCTCAAACTCATTATTGACCCTTATTATATTAGCCCTATGATGCACCTCTTCTACTGTACTTGAACTATTGACAAGATGTGATGTTTCATTTTCATACTTTTCTATGACTTCACTCACACCCGGACATCCGAATGAGTAAGCTTTGTCGCCCGGAGAAAATACCACAATTGCAGCTTCTGAGCCTGTTAAAGAACAAAACTCGCTGGCTTTTTTAAAAAGACCAGCACGACGTTTTGAGAAAGTTACTTGTAAATAGCTCTCATTTTTTATTTTCACCATGTCGATCTTTTGACGACCTTTGCTCAACTTTTTGGTTGACATGGTTTTGTCACAAAAGATGGATTGAATGAAATAAAAATGGAGTAGTACTATGTTTTAGAAAAAAAAAAAACTGTTGCGGATTATATAGCAAAGTATCAAAGTCAGAAGCTATTATGTATATTCAATTAAAATCTTTTATCAGATACAGTTAAGTACGTTTAAAACACAATTTAGTAACTAAATCATTGTTATATATTTCATTACCTAGTTTTTCCAGTTAACTTTGACCTAATATGTCGTCCATCTTGTCAGTCAACGAAATAATGATGGAGCGGAAACTTCTAGAAGAAAATGGTTGAGAAATGATGTAAAATAAATTGTCATGTACAAGACAATTATTGTTACAAAAATTAAACACTATGAAAACTTTTTTACTTCTTTCTTTTAATATGTTGAACCATTCTTGCTTTTGCTTTAATTTATGAATTAAGAATGTAGCTTTATTTATTTACTAGGTTCCTCGATTTGTGCGTGTCATCCTTGCGTAGATTATTTACTAGGTCTTGCACGCGCATTGCACGGGGATATGTCGAGAAATGTTTTATTAAGTCAGAACTTAAATGCAAATTTATATCACGTCAACGGCTCTTTTCTTTTTGTTGGTGAAATCTATAAAGTAAACGGGAAACACAGAAAATAAGCATATTAAGCTAATTTTAAATTTAAATTTAAAAAGGTGAAATAAGGGATATATTCTAATTTTTTTTTACGTAAATTGAATCTTAATTGAATTAATTTCTAAAATTTCTAAATATTTTTTTGATTGTTTTTAAAATGGACCAATGTAGTAACCACTCCTATCTTTCTTTCCTTTTTCTTTGTTTTTTTTTTTTATATTGTAGTTAAACCTATGAATATGTGTTAACATTCCACAATTAGAAATAATTTATACAAAGTTTACCAATGATTAACGCATTTACACAAAATGATTGCATATCAATTGTGCAATATTAGTCTTCATGAAACTATAGTTCTGCAAGATATTTAGATTTTAAAGTAATATGTAAATGTGCAAAGTTATGGTTACGCTATATAAATATTTATTTTTATCATTTCAATTTACTGATTTTTTTGTTGTTGATGTTTGAATAGCAACAATTTGAGTTTAAAATGGCATTGATATGATTTGGAATGGTTTATGAATTTTTTTTATTTGGCCAAAGCATGAGCTTTAAAAAGGGTTGTTGTGGTTATTAAGTTTGCTTGGATAAAGAACTATATGTGATATTAGTATTATTGATTTCAATATGATAAGAGTGTTCCATTTTGATTTTCTTGAAATCTAAACCCTTGCAGTTTTAGCTCTTTTTATTTTTCTGATCATAAACAAGGTCGTTACTTTTAGAGACATATATGCAGTTATTAATTTTGTTTTATTAATATGAAGTATCTTGTGACATTTGGGTCATTGAGTTTGACTATAACAAAAATCGTTTACTTTATTTATTTTGAAAGTTTGAGCTGTGCGGTTTCATTTTTATTTTTATTTTTTTGGCTATAAATGAAGTCATTTCTTTTAATAAATTAATCTATAATTATTAACTTGAACTGAAATGACATTATTCTAATAGTGATTATATACTATAGTTTTTATTTATTTATCACATAATTTTAACCCACGTAATTTTGACCTTCTTTCTTCTTTTTCTTTTTTTTTTTTACCATGAACAATGCTTTTTTTAGAGTAGGAAAATGTAGTATGAGAATGCAACAAATTACCAACATTTTTACCTGTGACAACACATTTCCTTTAGTTGCCATATTTATATAATTATGAAAGTAAGGCTATTTTTTAATAACTAACATGATTGAAATAATTAGTCAAAAGTTTTCATATCAAATTTTAAGTTGAATGATTATGGTGTTACCTTTTTTCAATATAGATATCTAAACTATATTTTGAAAGATATTGAATCTTGTATTTAACATTTAATGTAAATTAATTTATGCATCGTGGAGGTGATTTTTGTTATAATTTTATCTCTTGTACAATGAACTCATTACTTTTGCCATAAAAATGCATTTTTTTTTGGCGGAAAAATTTTGCACTGCAATGCGACGCATTAGCAAAAATATTCTCACAGACGGTTATTTTAATAGTATATTAATATATTAATTTTTTCAAATAAATTGGTAAACGTCTAATTAAAATTGAAGTAATAACATCCCCTAATCATAAGAATCCCTCCTACTTAAATATTATCTTAGTTTTTTTAGCTTTAATAAATCACAGTCTTATGTGATAAGATTTCACGCTTTAGACATATGTTGATAATTGATTAATGAGAATTAACGTAAAGTATCACCAGCTCAGATCAAAAGACCTCAGTAAATTTCTAGATCAAAAGACGACAGGGGGGAATTTGATACTTAAGATCGACATGATGAAAGTGTCCGATCGTGTATCTTGGAGCTTTCTAAAAGCTATCTTGCTGAAATTTGGCTTCCAAAGCATTTTTGCTTCTTTAATAATGAATAATCTAGCAAGGAGTTGGTTCTCAGTACTGATAAATAGTAGCTCGTGGGGTTTTTTCCAAGCAACGAGAGTGATAGAATACATAAATACGGAAAGCCTAATTAGGATTTCCGATAATCACGGCTAGGGTTATTGTAATATTTGTACTATATATATGATGTTGTACACATGTAATAACACACGAAAAATATTCTTTCATGGTATCAGCCCTCTTTCCTGGGCTGTCAATTTTTAGTTAGGTTTTTTTTTTCCTTCCTCCGCCGCTCACTTCTTGTGTCGGCTTCTTGCTTTTCTTGTTTCTCGGCCACCTCTTGCTTCACCAACTATTGTTGCTACTGCCAAAGCTTCTTCTTATAATGTTGCTGCTGCTGAAAATTCTCTCCTTTCTCACTATCTCCATCGGCATCCGTCGTTGTATTCCTGCCGCCGCTATCTTCTACCGCTACTGCTCCTTGTTGCTTTGGTTTCCTGTCGGAATTGCCCTCCCCGATTGCTTCTGTTTGTCGGTCTGATCAGCTTCCTTGTTCCGAAACCAGCCCCGCCATCTTGCTGCTGCAGAAGATTGTTCTTCCGCCGCCGACGCCGCTGCTGCCTGCTTGCTTCCTTCGCTACTGCTGCCGGCTTCTTTCCAACGGGGACCAAAGGCGGCTGCTTCGCTGTTTGCTGTTGTTGTTGTTTTCATAAAACCGGATTCTAACCGGCAATTTTCCTTCTTGGTTGAAAAAAAAAAATTTCTTTGCTTGATCTTCTTCGTTTGCCTTTCACGTCCCTGCTGCTATGGCAAATTCGGCCGCCTCCGGTGTCACAGGAACTCCATCTTCTTCTCCTCATCCGCTCATTGGCCTTTCAAATATTAAGAACTATATCACCCCTGTTCTTGACTTCACCAACTACATTCTTTGGAAGGAACTCTTTCTTCCTGTTTTCCGCAGCCATGCCGTCATGGGTCACATTGACGGTTCAACTCCTTGTCCACTGGCGACTCTCGCTGCCTCTGATGGTTCTACCACTCCCAATCAGGCTTTTCAATCTTGGACCCAAATTGACTCTATTGTGCTCTCGTGGATTCAAGCCACTGTTTCTACTGAGATCTTGCAGGCTGTCGTTAAGCCTAATTCCACCCTTACAGCCCGAGATGCCTGGCTTACGATCGAGAAGCTGTTTCATGACCAACTTGGCTCTCGGCTTCTCCAACTGAAGCTGCAATTCCACAGCTTGAAGAAGGGTGATTCCACAATCAATGATTATGTCACTCAATTGAAGATGTTGGCTGACTCTTTGACCGCTGTCGATTGTTCCATCTCCGACTCTGATTTAGTTCTGCAAATTCTCGCCGGTCTTCCTGCTGATTATCAATCCGTCTCCACCACCATCAGCCACAAAGTCCCTCTTCCTACCTTCGTTGAGGCTCGTTCGATACTGTTCTTGCATGAGGTGCAGCTTCAGAACGTGGCCCCTCCTTCTTCTCCCGCGGCAACCACGGCCTTGGTGGCGGCTGCTTCACCTGGTTCTTCTCAGCAGCCGACATCTGATTCTCCTTCTCCTGTTTCATCCAGTCATGGCCGTAGAAGGGGTCGCGGCTTCCAGAATTCAAGAGGCCGAGGCCGCGGGCGTGGTCGCAATCAATATTTTGGTCAGTCCTCTTCTCCGTTCTATCACTCTTATTCTTCTTATCCGGCTCCCATGTTTACTCCCAGGCAGCGCGCTCCCTCTCTTCTTGGACCGTCTCCTTCTTCCTCGTCCAATTCGGATCATGTTCGATGTCAATTGTGCCATCAGTTTAATCATTCTGCCCGGGATTGCTATCAATTCCAACAGCCCGCTTATTTTGTTGATCAACATAATCAGCTTTCTGTCCCTCCGTCTGTTGATTCTTCTTGGTATATGGACATGGCTTGTGGTAATACTATGACTCCCAATCAAGGTACTCTTACTAATTCCAAACCCTATCTTGGTTCTACTCGAGTTGTGATTGGTAATGGTTCAAATTTACCTATTAAATCTGTTGGTATACTTCCTTGTTCTCAATTTCGCTTTCCTAGGGTCTATTATGTACCTTCACTTACCAAAAATCTTGTTTCTGTGTGTCAATTTGCAACTGAAAATCAATGTTCTATTGAGTTTGATCCCTTTGGTTTTTCTATGAAGGATCTTTGGACGAGGAACCCTCGTCTACGTTGCAATAGTGTTGGTTCCCTTTACACTTTCCCATCCACCCTTTTGGATCAATCTCGCGCACCGTCTTCTTCATCATGTCCGGCGTTCGCTGCTTCTATCTCTTCTCATGCCTGGCATCAACGCCTTGGTCACCCCAATTCTTCTGTTTTATCTAGCTTAGTGTCACAGCGCCGCCTTCCTGGTTCGGTAGTTTCCTCAAATAAGTTTAGTCTTTGTCAGGCTTGTCAAATTGGGAAGCATCATAAGCTCCATTTTATGCCTTCTACTTCGGTTACTTTCAAAGCTTTTGATTTAATCCATACGATGTTTGGACTTCTCCCTGTCTTTCATTTAGTGGTTTCAAGTA